CCTCCCCAGCATCTCCTCCCCCCCTTCTCTCCTCCCCCCCAGCATCTCTTCTTCACTACCTCCAGTATATACCCCTCTCCCTCCCAGCACATAAATAATGTTTAATATTTTTTTTTTGGTGAGGGTTTGAAGACCACCTGTGGTGGCATGCTCGGAGGGAGCAGTGCTGGAACAGCAGGTAAGTCAGTGCTCCCTCGCAGCCCTCCATCCCACTCGCCCAACAACGATACGAAAGCTGAGTAGGCGCCTTCCGTTTTGGGCAGGCAGGTGCCTACTCTGCAGTCTGGGGGGACCTAAGGCTGTCAACCGGTGCCCCCATCAGCATTCCGGTGACCTATTTCTGCTGTTCTTTCCTTACTTAGAGAAATACCCAATAATTAGATATCAAGTCCTGTTTGGATAACAAAATGTACTGTTCACAGATCTAAGCAGGGTTTATTTGGTGCTCATATGGATGGTGCCTGCTACAGAAAAACCTACCGAATTAGAATACTATAACAGTTTAGGTAACATTACAGCAAATATAATCTGTTTTACCAATGAAAGCATAAACGCCCATGTTATTTAATAGTACTATTTTACAGAACAATAGAGGCACATTTTTAGTTTTGAAGCTCTTAGTCAGAGGTGTGTAGCTAAAGGTGTACAGATTGTGAGACATTTGTTGCCTAAAATATTTTTTTATACACATCCCATGCATTGGTTTTTAGTATGAAGATTTGGAGTTTAACCACTTCTGAGCAGCAGAAGAGTATATTGGTATACAGTTATACTGTTTGTATGTTCAGAATGTTCAAACAAATCCAATAATTTTCACTTCCCTCATTAAAGGTATGTTTGTAAAATAGTTTTGGTTGTGTTATCTCTTTTGTGGAGACTGATATTAATTCATCCTACTCAGCAAGACCACAGCTTACATTTCCTACTACTGGCGTCTCTAGAACACAAGACATGGCATTGTTATACAATCTACAGCCTTATGTTTTGTAGACAGATTAACATTTTGTAGAACTTGTAGAATAACACTGACATACATTGCTTATAAATTAATCACTTGTTCCAGTTCAGTTCCTTTGTAAGAAAGCCCTTGTTATACTAATTACAATAGTAGCATTGTATGTTCCTAAACCTGCTAATTTGAAAACCAAACAAAACCGTAAACATTGTCTGAAGTATGATGCTCTTTTACTTGGGTCAGGTGCATGTATTTTTTTTGAGTTTTGAATGGCTTTACAAACATGGGAATTAACCTGTTAGTTTATAATGTGCACACACATTGCATTTAAAATACACTTTATAGCAACTGTCAAATGCATCTATGATGTATAAACACAGAAAACCGCAATAAGAAGTAAAGGTATCAGAAAGTTAACTGGAGGGGGGCGGGGCCTCACAGCCAAGATGGCCGGTTGTGTTTCCTAAGAGCTCCCACATCAGAGAGCAAAACACACCAATTTTAAATGAAATTAACCATGCTACCATTTCGAAGTGCCCGGAAAGCGACACAGGACAGCCCAGGGAATGAGATGATACCTGTCCGGAACCGAGACGCAGCGATAATGCCTAAGCCGCCCATACAGCCTGATCCACAGCGGGATCTGAAGTCTGGGGGAGACGGTAGATTCCCTGACGGAGGTCACGCTCACAAACGAGACTCAAGGGCAACCCTGCTATCCCTCCCCCCCTGGGACCGGCGGGGGATATCCAGTCCTCGCTGGGGATGACTAACCTTACAATAAAGCCTGAAAATCCACAGACTCGAAATGCCCCAGGGACCTCCACCACTAAAGCACATGCCCAAGCCAGGGAGAGCACGGAGAAACCAGTTGATTACTGCACAACGCACACTGATTACACGGCAAGGCTGGAGGCACTTTTCACGGCGTTCTGGCTAAAACTCGAGAGACGGATGCAACGAAGCGCTGAAAACAAACATGTCGACCATTTACTCCAATATTTAGCAGAGATTGGCGATGAAATGGCTATGTAAAAATTGTCAAAATAACCTTTAGGTAAATAGCCTGTGATGTCTACTTTATATAAATATATACTTTTGTGTGTCAATTTTGTTTTCTGTGATGGCTATTTAACTTACAAGACAAACGGACCAACTTCTAAAATTGTTTCACATTGAACTTTTATTTTAGTCGTAGTTTGGGACCTGTTATTTTCAAAATAAACTGAAATCCTACACATATTATGTACTCTGTAAGTCAAGACACATAAATGAATTGATTTTGAATCACTTTTCCTAAACTGGACATATTATGCACATGTTTATTACCAAAAAATGATTTATTTTTTTCCCCCCCATTATTTTGCACTTTTTTTTTTTTTAAATAAATGAGAATTTGTATGTGTGACATCAATTTAAATCCCTTTTAGTTGTCTAAAAAACAGTATATATTATGTTTTGGTACAATAAATGAGAGAGATGCAAATTGCAGCTGAACACAAACGGCAAACAATGCAAAAATTGCTTGTGTCCTTAAGTGTATGTCCAGCTTCTGAAGCTGCGTCTTTAAGGGGTTGAACCGCTTTTTTCTGTTAAATAATAAATACAAAACACCTGCACGCCCATGTTAAGCTGGGAATAATTTCAGAATTTGAGACCTCCCACCAAAATGTGCTTTATTTGAATTTTATCATGAAGTAATTGAGTAACTTTAAAATATTTTCTACAACATTCTGATACTGACTTTTGTTTTGTCTGTAATTTCTAACAAGCACAACCATGTGAAGACTTCATAACAGCTGCAAGTAAATTAAACCACTTGGCATGTGTAACCAGACAGCTCCTCCTATTTTTGAACATAGATTTGTGACACAATGTGGGTGGATTGAAGATATTCCACCTCTTATCTCTAATTTGGGCTTTAGTTTCCTTACAAGTCCATGCCATAAAAAGAATTTGAAATTTCAAGCAAAATCAGAAATGCTTAAATGAAGGAAAACATACATTTTGTGTATATGGCAAAAAGCTGAGTAAATCCCCTCCCTCCCCACTGTACTGGGAAAAGCAAATGTAACAGGCAATAAAAGCCAACTTGTCTTATCTCATCTAAAGATCTTAAAGGAACACAAACATGTGAAACTACTATGTTTTATATATATAAAAAAAAAAAGGGGGGGTTAATCCTACGTGGACCTGGCACCCAGACCACTTCATTAAGCTGAAGTGGTCTGGGTGCCTATAGTGGTCCTTTAAGCTGTAGTTGGTCTGGTGACTATAGTGTCCCTTTAACATCTTGTATACCTCCCAAGTGTCCTTATTTAGGTGTGGGAGGGGGGGGGGGTGCGGGGGAACAGTCTCTATTGTGGACCCAAATTCATCTGTCCCCTTTTTCTAGGCGCTCCATATTGTTTGTGTCTCTGTGTGTAACAGAGCAGCAATAATTACAGTAATTTGTCTTTAACCTACAATAGAGTGTTTAGAAATCAGTGTGTAAATAAGATGTGCTGTTCTTGTTCTAAATTACATTTCAATTGTATGAATTATTAAAGGAACTCTAAAATGACAAGAATACAGACAGATAATCCTTTCACTGTAACTGGGAAATGTGATCTTACTCACATTTTTATTGCAGTGTCGCACTGGCCCCATCCATGCTCTACCTCCTTGGCGGAGATAATTCCCAGATTTTACTATTAACATGACGTAAAGTCATGATTTTATTAAAGACACGGAGGCGAGTATTATGCATAACTCTTTCTTTATTTCCTCAGCAGCAAAGATAGAGGAATATAAATATTGTCAAAAATGAAAGAAAAAACTGTATAGATACACAGGCAACCAATCACATAACAGAGGAAGTGACTATAAAAGGCCTGTGTCTCCCACAATCCCCCTCTTTCTTGCGGAAACCGAAGACCAGGTAAGAAGAACGAAATCCAACTTGTCCATAACAGGAAAAGGCAACGAACCGAAAACTTCAAGCTAAAAGAGAGAGAGAAATATGGTAATACCCAGACTCCAAACTGTAGACTTACCAAAACAAACTGTTGGTTACTCAACGACAGATAATATAGGGATCAAAGCAAATATTAGCAGTTCCATGATAAACCGGAATCTGAAAAACATAAAATAAATAATTAGTTGATGTGATATAACAAGTGAGTCACATACCCAGAGCGACATCAGAAAAACATACCGACATGAAAAAACGTACCTGAAGAGCTCAATAGCATCTCATCCCTATACCCTCACGGGAGGGT